CCCCAAAACCCCAAAACCCCAAAACCCCAAAACCCCAAAACCCCAAAACCCCTTTCAAAAATATAAGCGTAGAAGTTCACATGAATCTATAATTTATAAGAATGGCTGACTCTGAAATGAAGAGTAATGAGTCAGAAGAATATGAAGAGACTAAGCGTCGTTATGATTATGATCTCTTCGTCATTGGTGGAGGATCAGGAGGACTTGCTTGTGCTAAAGCAGCTCAAGAGTGTGGAGCAAAGGTAGCTGTAGCTGACTTTGTCAAGCCCTCTCCTCATGGATATGGAGTTGTGACTTGGGGAGTTGGTGGAACTTGTGTCAATGTGGGATGAATACCAAAGAAATTATTACATTATTCAGCAAATTTGGGAGAAGCTTATGTTGATAGAGCTAGTAGTGGATGGGACCATGAGAAGCCAAAACACGATTGGGGTAAAATGATTTCTAATATTAATAATCATATTCGAGCTATTAATTTTAGCATCAAAACTGATTTGAGGAAGAGAGGAATAAAATTTTATGAAAAATTAGCTTCTTTTGCTGATCCACATACTATTCAACTTTTAAACAAGAAAGGCAAGACAGAATTAGTGACAGCAAATCATATTGTTATTGCAACTGGGGGAAGGCCTCTCTACCCTGATATCCCTGGAGCAAAGGAGTATGGTATTACAAGCGATGACATTTTCTGGCTGAAGAAAAATCCAGGTAAAACCTTGGTCATTGGCGCATCTTATATTGCACTTGAATGAGCTGGATTTTTACATAGTTTTGGTAACGATGTTTCTGTGTGAGTAAGATCGGTCTTTTTGCGGGGCTTTGATCAGGATATGGCTAATATGCTTGCCAAGGATATGGAAGAACATGGTGGAGTCAAATTCATTAAAAATTCAATACCTACCAAAATCGAAAAAGATGAAGAAACAGGAAAGCTCATATGATATCTCACCTCTAGAGAAGAGGAAATTACTATAGAAGTTGACACAGTTTTGTTTGCAATTGGTAGATATGCTGTTACAAAAGATCTAAACCTTGAAAATGCGGGTCTCAAAGTAGAATCAAACGGTAAATTCATTACAGATGAGTTTCAACAAACTAATGTGGAGAATATCTATGCTATCGGAGATGTGATTCATGGGAAATTAGAACTAACACCCACTGCAATTCAAACAGGTAAACTACTTGCAAGAAGATTGTATGCTGGTGAAACCACAACTATGGACTTTTGTGATATTCCAACTACAATCTTCACTCCTTTAGAGTATGGATGAGTTGGATACTCAGAAGAAGAAGCTAAGGAAAAATATGGAGACGCCATTAAGGTATATCATACTTACTTCAAGCCATTAGAGTGGAACTATGCAAAATCAATTTATAAATATCGAAATTGATATGTTAAAGTAATTATAAACACTACAGAGAATGATCGGGTAATTGGCTATCATTTATTGGCTCCAAATGCAGGAGAAATTACTCAAGGAATTGCAATTGCCATTAAGATTGGCCTTACTAAACACAAGTTAGATAACTGTGTTGGAATCCATCCAACTGTTGCAGAAGAAGTAACGGATCTCAAGATTGATAAAGCAATCAATCCTGATCCAGTCAAGACAGATTGTTGATCTTAGAGCATCTGTACATATTAGTCATTGCTTTTACAAAGGCAATCACTAATAGCAGTACGGAATAATTAATCTGAAAAGGGGAGGACCCAGTAAGCTATAGATCATACTCAAAATGAGCTATAGCTTTTATGATACTTCTTTCCTTCAAAAATATAAAGGAAACAAGTTGAAAAGCTGGTAATTCCCTGAGCAGCTTCAGCAATAATTGTTTTTAAATTTTAAGTGTAGGTGTGATTCATCGGTTATTGGAGATTCAATACAAAAGTTGGAGAAAGGGGTTTTGGGGTTTTGGGGTTTTGGGGTTTTGGGG